TGTGCTAAATATTATATAGCTGAATGGAAGCATACGTGAGCGTGTTTGTTTTGAATCGTTTTCTCTGCTGGGCAAATGGCACGAGCAATTCAAGAATTATGTTACTGTTATTCAAGAATATACATGGGTTTTAGCCCATGTTTCGTGATCACCAGTTTTCAAAATGCTCTGTTTTCGTTTTTCCAGGCAGATAAAGAGATTAGAAGGACATGTCGTTCATTTCCTACAAGTTCTAGAACTTTCAGCTTCTAGAATATTCCCAGGCTCAAATGCAAAGAAAATTCGCTCTTGAGCTGAGCCTGAAATTGTGTTTGCCTTCCCGGATAAAGGCTTGTTACTTCTATTCTTTGCCATATGGACCTTAGGAATACAAGCTGGGCTCTGGTAGCGTGTGATCTTTTACTTGTTATCATCAATAGAGCGTACGGTAACGGTACCGCCGAAGGATTCTGGAAACACGAGGCAGATTTCCAGATGGAAGTTGGACGGGACGGACCCAGTCTCTGTGTGGCACTCAGGCGTTTATTCACACTCCACTACCCAGAGCAGGGTGTTTTCTGCACTGTCCTTATACATTTCAAATAAAACCTGTTTTCAAAAAGCATCCTGAAATGTATTCGCAGGGGATTTTGTGCTCGAGGTTCAGCAAAGTTGTGCAGTGGGCATGCCAACAAACCTCGTACGTGGGAGTCTCCAACTTATATAATCAGACATCCCCAGTGAGCCAACAGGACACTGGGTCTTGCACAAACACAGCTGTTGTTTTGAGAAAATAATATGATTAACAGGGAATTTTCAGGAAACACACTGTGTCGATGAAAAATCAATGCCGGGTTGGCTTTCTATGAAATGCACCCAACACATGTGTGTGTGTGTGTGTGTGTGTGTGTGTGTGTGTGTGTGTGTGTGTGCAGGTGTGTGAGTGTACACATATATACGTATTTCTCCTGTATTTTGCAACGACCAAAATAGAAAAGGATGGTGCTAGAACTTCCCCACCCTTTCTTTCCGGATCTCCAATCCCAAACACTGTAATTTAAAACAGAGACACTTTGAAGGTGGAAAGTTCGACCTAACGCCCGAGTTCGAGGTGACATCAGAGCCACCAAAGGGAGGGAGGGAGGGGACCGGCAGGTTCACAGCCAGAGCCACCCACGTCCCCAGAGGCAGGCGTGGAAAACCGGGAGCGGAGAGGGTCAGGCAGGCACCCCAGGGCACGTCTGCGCATTGGCAGAGGAAAGGAATTCATCAAAGGAAACGGGACGGGTTAAAAAAAAAAATGACACAAAAAAAGCAAAGGGACCCAACGCCTTGTGAAAGAGGAAGAGGCCACAGAGTCTGGGACACGGACAAGGGGATCAGTCATGTGACACCCGAGATTTAGTTCCGCAGGTGCGGGGAAGCACCTGACACCGTTAGCCACCGCCCAGGAGATGGGAAACACGAGGGTTTGTGTCACCCATCCCTCGAGCAAATCTGACCCCAAAATAAAAGAGAAGACAGGAGCCCCAAGGGGGGCCCAATCAAGGGACGGCAGTTTCAGACTAGAGGAAACTTTTTGGGAAGGTATTTGCAACTGAGGCGGAGGGCGAGGCACTCACTCACAGGGAAACGGTGACTTCGGTTTTGCCAGACGGCAGCAGCAGCAGCCCTGTCCCTGCCGTGCGCCCGTGGCAGGGTTCTGAGACTGTCCCCCGGATTTCTCATTCTCCTGCGTCTCAGGAGTAGGCGGGAAAGGAGCAAGTGACATCAGTGCAGGGTTGGACACCTGTCTGGCATAGGGGCAAGGGACTGGGGCACCTGGGATCCCCCAAGTGTTCTCCACCGTGGGTTCTCAGAAACTGCCACCTCCCCAGCGCCAAGCCTGAGACCGGGCGCGGTGAGAAGATCGCACCTGCGGGCTGGGGCGTGCTCGCAGCCGCCTGGCACCATAGAAACCGTCGCGTCTGTGGTTGCCTTCGTGAACGCTCCTCTTCCTCCAAGCTTGACGCTCCATCTTTGGCACGGTCTCCTGACCTCCTTCCTGCCTTCACTGTCTGAGCTCACGCCACCACCCCTGGCAAAGTTCTCCTGACAGCGCTAATCACACCTGCTTCCAGCCTCTGCGTTCTTTCTGTGCCCTGTTCCAAACCGCGAACGCCACAGAGCCGCGAACTTGCCTGTCTTCCCCGGAGTCCCTGGGCCCGGGACATCGGAACCTGAAATGTTCACGGGGGTCCCCTAGTGAGTCATTTTGCATTTATCGCTCGGCAGTTCCGGAAGCGTCTGCATCTGAAGACGGAAGCCGAAGATGACAGGGTCTCACGCGTGACCTTGGTCCGGCCCCTTCGTTTTCCAGCGAAAGCAGCCAAAGCCCAGAGAGGCCGACCCGAAGCCCTCCATACCAGGTGTCGAGCGTGTTTTCTCTTCACACGGACGACCCGTGACGGCTGCCTCGGGTGCCCTGTCTGCTTTGGATCTGGCCAGGTGTCGCTCCGTTCGGAATGCAGCGGGGCGCGGTGGACATTTGCACGAGACCCGGCAGGACCACGCAGGACTGGAGGGAGGAATGTGGGGCCACAGCTGGAAGCGGGGCCCATGGCGGGAGATGCCCCTGAGCCACAGGGAAGATACTCCAAGCAAGACGGCAGGTAAACAAGCGCCAATAAGAAGGTCATTGAAGTTGGCGATGCCAGTCCCCAGACCTGAGGAATGGACGGGAGAGAGTTAAGATACTCCCCTGCACAGGGCAGCTTTAGAAGCACACAGGAGTGGCTGCTATAAATCTGCTGCTCTCTACAATCACTTGTGTTACTTTAACATTATTCTTCCAACGCCACTGGTCCGTTTACACATCGTTTCACGCCATCAGAAATTCCCAGGGACAAGCAGTGCAGTCAGATTCGTCGTGTTTATTCTCAATAGCCCCGATTCCATTTTCCCTCAAAAAAAAAAAAAAACCACCAAAAAACAAAATAAACGCACCAATGTGTTGTTTGCTTTTACACAGCATTTGCTTACAAGTTTTTGTTTAAGAAGAGATGCCTCTCGAATGTGAACTCTCTTGTACCCTACTTGCTATTTTAAACAGACGGAAATAAATATTTAGAGCTACATTTCTAAGTATTTGCTAAGCCGTGTTATTTTATTTGCTGTTTGTTTTAGCTGGCTGGTGTTCTCGGGTCGTTCCAAGAGTCCTTTCAATTTTCTTTTTTCTTTTCTTTCTTTTTTTTGAGACAGAGTCTCGCTTTGTCGCCCAGGCTAGAGTGAGTGCCGTGGCGTCAGCCTAGCTCACAGCAATCTCAAACTCCTGGGCTCAAACGATCCTCCTGCCTCAGCCTCCCAAGCAGCTGGGACTACAGGCATGCGCCACCATGCCCGGCTTATTTTTTCTATATGTTTCTAGTTGACCAATTAATTTCTTTCTATTTATAGTAGAGACGGGGGTCTCGCTCTTGCTCAGGCAATTTTCGAACTCCTGACCTCGAGCAATCCTCCCGCCTCGGCCTCCCAGAGTGCTAGGATTACAGGCGTGAGCCACCGCGCCCGGCCTGTCCTTTCAATTTTAATAGCAGCATTGTGTGTGTGTGTGTTCTGGGTGGCTTAAAGAAAGAACAAAAAAAGCAATTCCTATGTTGAGTGATTTAGTGTCTGAGCTTGGTTGGGCTGCTAGAACAAGAATACCACAGACTGGGGTGGACTTCAACAAAGAATATTTATTTCTCCAGCTCCAGAGCCTGGGAAGTCCAAAGTCAAGGCACCAGCAGGCGTGGCACCTGGTGAGAGCTCTCTTCCCGGTTTGCCGGTGGCTGTCTCCTCGTGGTGTCCTCGGGTGACAGAGATCACTTCTCTCGTGTCGTTTCCTACAAGGGCACTAACTCCATTCACGGGGGGTGGAGGGGGTCTCTGCCCAAGAGACCCAGTCACTGTCCAAAGGCCTCACCTCCAAGGACCATCACGTTGAGGATTTAGGCTCCGACACATGAATTTCGGGAGGACGCAGACATTCGGCTCACAGCGCACGGCTTAGCCAAAAGATGAATGGAGAGGGATGAATCCTGCTCCTAAATCCACCTATAAATAAGGATGCACGACTCCACTAAATGTCTAACGTTACTCCTGACAGGAGCAAAGGGGCACTCACCCCAGGCCCCGGTCTCTGCGTCCCCCCCCAGAGCTCCTGGCTCTGACCCCCCGCTGCGAGCATTCAGCCCCCAACGCACACCCCTCCCTTTAGCCCGAAGTCCCCGAAAGGCCAAGCGGAGGAGGACAAGGCACCTAGCGTCGGTGGGTAGAGAATGTTCAGTCGACTTTATTTGGGGAATATGACACTTAAAAATCAGAAAACCGCTAAAGACGACCCATTCCGATTGTTTTCTTTGGCAGACGAGGGAGGATATTGAAACCCGGAGACAGGGACCTGCCCAGGGTCCCCATGAGTCAATTATAATGTCTCATTAGCATTAGCTGTTATGGTAACAATGAGATGCGTCTCCTCTAACTGTGACATATTTCTTAATCTCACTCAATTGCTCGTTTAGTAACCCTCACCTCTCATTTATCAATGCTCAAGGAAAATAAATGAGTACCCACCTAGTGGAAGAGTGTCAAAGCTAATAAAATGAACTCTAAGACGCTCAGCCTAGCCTCGCTCTATCTAACTCTTTTATATAACTTGATGGGGGAAAAAAAATCACCCAGTGGCAGCTTGCCTCAGTTTTCCCATCTGGAACAGAATTCCTCCTTTCCTCTGCATTTATTTCAGAGAGCTTGCTATTTCACTACACGTGTAGCCGGAGGAAAACTCGGTGTTTGCTCAATGAAATGAAAAGGTCCTAAGTATAGCAGTGGCGTGAGGCTTCAGGCTCACAGATACTAATTCCAACTAAAACAGAAAACGTATTGGCAAATACTGTTTGCAAAAAAAGAGAGAGAGAGAGAAAGAGAGATCTATAGCAAAAGAAGAGGAGAAAGAAAGTGGTATTTATCTAAAGTAAAAATACAATTTTTAAAATAAAAACTCAACTTTGATACTTTTTATTTTTATTTTTTTTTTCTGAGTGGGCGTGTAAGCTGTGGGTGAGTCATTGGAGTGTTTTTCTCTGCTCTTAGGCAAGGTAGCAGCAGACACTTGGGAGCTGGTCTTGGCTAATAAGACTCCCTCCTCTCTCCGCAGTGTCCAGAGCTACACCTGTGACAACAGATCGCTGCTCCAAGCGCTGCACGGTGGCCTGGGCCTCTCGGCCGGGGACCGTCTGCCCAGCTGGGGTTTACATAACGGGGACGGCCCCGGGGAAGCTGGCCCCGGGCTCGGCCGGCCCTGGCTCCTGCACTGCCTCCGGGCCCTGAAACATGCAGCATCTGGCTGCCGCGTGGGCCGGTGGCCCTGCCACCGCTGTCGTGGAGACAGGCGGCTGAGCTTCCGAGGATGGGAGAGAAATAAACAGCAGAGCAGACAGGCCCCGGGCCCGGTGGGTTCACAGAGTGACAAGACTCCGACACGGGACAGGACAGGCAGTCTCCCAGCCCCAGCTCCCTCCCGAAGCCACCGGGGCCAACAGGAGCATGCGGATGTCGTCCTGCGGCCAGCATGTTTCCCCCCGGGAAGGTGAACACGATAAACAATTTCCCTAACTCGGCTCTCTCTCTCGCTAAGCGCTGAGCACGCCTGCACCGCTCAGGCCTGGGCCGCCCTGGCCTCGTGCCGGGGGGTGACGAAGCCACGTGGGAGGCCGGTCCCAAAGCCTTTAACCTCCGGCCCGCATCAAAACAGCCTCTGTCTCTGAGCGCGCAGTCTTTCGTTCTCTGCTCTTTGGCCCAAGCTTCCCTGCGGCCATCTGCTTCCCGGCCAGGCCCTGAGATGACCCAGGAGGAAGAAAAATCGAAAACCTCTAATCGGGGCGGGGATGGAGGCGTGGGGCATTGGCCTTTGATGACAGGACCGGGCTTTAAAGGGGGATTTCGGAACGAGAAGGGTGACCTTCGCTGATTTTAACCTTTTCCTTAGCAGATCAGGTTTGTACAAGTTTTGGAACCAAAGTCCCCGTTCACATGGATTTCCTGGGTTTTGCCCATCTGAGAGGAGGGAAGCCTTTTCAACCTTTCTAAGCACATACGTTCTTCCTGCTGTGGGCACGCTGACGAGCATGCCCTGTCCTGGCTCTGTCCCCTGTCCCAGGGCTGTGTCCTGGCTCTTCCCTCCCTCCACTCCCCCGTCCCAGGGCTGTCCACATGTGACTCATCGCCTCCTGGCGGACCACAGGCCATAAAGCCCCAGGAACTTTGACAAAGGCCGAAGAGCTCCAAGTAAAAGATTCCTCACTCCACAGGCAGACTCTGCAGCACCGGGACGGGCCAGTCAAAGCCACCCACACGGGCTGCCCTGTTTATTAAAAGCACTTGGCTTATTGGAACGGATCGGAGAATACCCATTATTAGCAAAAGCAAACGATTGACAAAGCCCATTAGAGAGAGACCAGTATCTGGACTGTCCATTTTTCTATGCTCCGTTACTTTTGCAAATGAAAACCGATTTTAAGGGCAAGACACCACAGCAGAAGAAAACCTTAAGGAAAGACTTCATTGCTCACAACGATCGAATGTATGCACCGCTTGCATGCCCGACCGGGGGCCTGGCTTCAACGGGGGGGGGGGGGGGTTCCTTCCAGGCAGAGGCTGGCCGCACAGCCGGGGGACGCCCGGAACTAAAAGCAGCGATCCCTAAGCGTCAGCATAAGGCAAAAGCAGACTGCCCGGGGCTGGCCGTTTCCATGGAGAAAACACGTTTCGGGGCAACCTTCCCCTTCACCGGCAGGTGTGTGACCTTACGGTGGGCCGCTGGACAGACAAGCCAGCTGGCACAAGAAACAGACTTTCTTGCTTTTGAAGACTACGACCTTTCTCCCCGCGGGGCTACCGTGTTTCTCAGCTGCAGAGGGGAGGGTGCAGGAGGCAGGAAGGGCGAGTAGAAGGAGGCGACATTGGTGCTCGAGCTTCCCGCCACCCCCATCTGCTCAAGCAGAAGTGGTACCCGCACCCCACCAGCCATGGGTCGCCAGCGGGGGAGGGGGGGCAGGTACCTGCCAAGACTGCAGGTGCACACAGCACACGGGCCACCTCCCAGACGAGCCGCACCACCGGGTCCCCCAGGCCACCCCTGTCTGCCGAGCACACGCGCCGCTCAGGCTGCCAGCCTCAGAGTCCCCCGGGTGCTCCCCGGCCAAGCGCCATCTCCGTGTCGAACGGGTGGGACGCCAGGTAGTCCCGGTACTCCCCGTCGATCAGCTTGGCGGCGCTGTTCCTGGCAAACCAGCAGTCCACCTGCTCCTCCCCGTTGTAAATCCTCCGCTGTTTCCAGACCACGGGGACCCGGCGCCCTTTCACCTCGAGGACGGCCTCAGACGGCTCTGCCGCCTGGGAGGGTGGCGGGCGGGTGCGGTTCCCGCCGAGCCCCCCGGGCTCCTCCGTGAGTTCGGCCTCCTGATTCAGGAACTGACCTGGGGGGACAGAGAAAGCACCGGGTCCAAGTCACACGGGGACCGCAGAGCACGCCGAGACCCCACTTCAGCGATGCCAGCGGCAGGAGGGAGTTTTAACTGACCACGGTCCTATTAATAGAGGGCGTTCACACCTTGTCCCGTGTTGTGAAAAAAACACGTGTGGTGGAAGACGTGGAGGAGAGAAATGAGGGTCTGCTCATAGCAGCTGCTGCTTCTGGAAGCTGCCCGGTTACTAACGCTGCAAAGTTGCTTTAACGAGTTGAGAGAGAAAGCCACCGTCTCCCGCAGAGCTGGGAGGACTGAGACAGAGGCAGATAAACAGGGAGGTGGGGTCTGGGCTTCCCTCTCTCCTTCCTGGTCACAGACCCCCCTCTCCCCGCTATCTATTGGTGGAGGGGGTGGTACGTGCCACTTGGTATCCAGCTCATTCCTGACACTTCGTCCTCAGAATTCTCCAGGTCGGGTGGGGGCACTGCTGAGACCCAAGGCGCACAGAGGTGCGTCTGCACCAGGGGCTCACGCGTGGCGGCCGGGCACCACGGGACCCGTCCCGCTCAGGGGCCAGGAAATCCTGCCTCTACACAGAGCCCTGACGGAGGCTCGCCCTTCATTTTCAGGCAAGAGGCCCGTGTAAAATTGCACGTTGAAGAAAGCCAGCCAGAGTGACCATGCGGGTGACTCCCACGGAGGAAATATGAACATCTCCTGCACACTGGGTGCTGGAAGACAGCTCCCTGGCCGCTCTTCCCTGTGCCTTCTGCCCGGGGGTGGGGGGGTGTGAGGAACCGGACCTTACGATGATTTCTCCCCATTTCTTTGTTCGTTCTCCCAGAAGGCGAGTGACAACTGGTTTATAAAGCCCATTCTTATCCCAGAAGGTCACGGGGACACGAGAAACCTAACTTGCACATCATACGGATAGTCACGTGCCACGTAACGACATCTCGGGCAATGACAGGCTGCCTATATACGCTGGTGGGTCCCAGGAGGCTGTGACACCGTATTTTTACTGTCCCTTCTCTAGGTCTAGACGTGGTTAGATGCACAAATACTCAGCGCTGCGTGACAGTTGCCTGCAGTACTCAGTCCGGCCACACGCTGTGCAGGTGAGCAGCCCAGCGGCGTCAGGATGTACCACATCGTCCAGGTGTGCGGTCGGCCACACTACCTACCGTGTTTCCCCGAAAACAAGACAGGGTCTTCTATTTATTTTTCCTCAAGAAGACACCCTAGGGCTTATTTTCAGGGGATGTGTTATCTTTTTTTAAGCACGGTACGACAATCTACATTGATTCAAATAGAGTGAAGTCGTCTTCCTCTGGAACATCATCCTCACTCTCCAAACCCCAAATCCCATAATGAATGTCTTGCGACTCTATTTCCTTTACAACCATTGGCCCCAATCTATCACGTCTAGCCATAGAGCTCTCACGGGGCAGAGGAGAAGGGCTGCTCGTCTTCTTTCCCGCTCCGTGAGGACATGCATGGGTTGTGCAGACACGCTGCGCAGCCACGCCCGTCACTGGGTCTTATTTTCGGGGTAGGGCTTCTATTGCGCACATGCTTAGAGATCCTGCCAGGGCTCATTTTATGGGTAGGTCTTATTTTTGGGGAAACACGGTAGGTTTGTGGAAGGGCACTCTGTGATGCTCACACAACAATGAAATCACCTAACAACACAGTTCTCAGAACATAGCCCCATGGCCAAGCGACACATAGCTATATATATGTGTGTATATATATATATATATATATATACACACACACACACACATACATACACATATATATTATATATATTTATATGTATATATACACACACACATATATATATGTATATGTATAAGAGCCTTATCCCCATTGCATTTCTCAATCAAGCTACAGATATTGTAAATGCCAGCTTCCCTTTGGGAAATTTAATTGCATCCTCTAAACCTGTGGTCCCCAAGCCCTGGGTGGAGGACCAGTACCAGTCCGTGGCCTGTCAGGGACTGTGCCGCAGAACTCCTCGCCTCCTCCCCCCTGCCCCGTCCCATCTGTGCAAACACTGCCTTCCATGAAACTTAGGACCCTGGGTGAGGGGATGGCGCTCCCCATTGCCCCTGAGTTTCACAGCCCCCCCCACCCCGCACCCCCCACCCCTGCACCCGTGTGTTCCATGAAGCCGGTCCCTGCTGCCCTAAGCCCGGGAACCGCTGCCCTAAGCCCAGAGCGGAGGAGCGAGAGGCTGCCTACCTAGCAGTCCGTGGCAGTTGCCGGAGAGGCCCCCGCTGCCCGAGATGTAGAAGCCCAGGTGGTTGCGCTGGAAAGGGGCGGGCTTCTTGTACAGGTGGATGAGGATGACGAAGGCCACGGAGCCCTGGATGGTGACGGTGACGTTGGCGTTGGCGGACACGGACACCTCCAGCCCCCGGCTCCCCACCACCGCGCTGCGGTTGCAGGGTAGGACCAGCCTGTCGCCCCCGTCCAGGATGACCCTGTGGGGCGTGACCTCCAGGTACGACCTCTCGGGCTTGTTGACGAGGATGGTGATGGTGCCGAAGTAGGTGCGCTGCTTCTTGTGGCCGTTGGGAGGAGCGGGGGCCCCGATGAGCTCCCCGTTCACTGTCACGCCTCACAGGCCCGGGGGAAAAGAACAAGGGTTAGGAAGACCAACACTGTGTCCCTGCTTTCCTGCTAAAGGCGTCCCATCAGAATGTCCTTCCTCCTCCGGGGTCATCATGCAAACGGCCCCAGCACGGGGCACGTGGCCTATGGACATGCAGAGGCCACACGGTGGCTACCCAATGAATCAGTGAATGAATGAATGAATGAATGAGTCAGTGCAGGAAGTTATGACTGGGTTTTTCCCCTGAGTCTGACAAGTATCTTGGGATAGGGGAAGGAAGATGCACGTTTGGGCCAAGATATCACAGGAGGAAACACAATGCTAAGTATTTGTGTATCCAAACGTAGCTAAATGTGAAGTTTATTTGCCTTCATTCCCGTGGCTGGTTGTAGTGACAAAAGGTCTCCTGTGGCCCCGATGTGTGTTTTGCACCTACCGGTGGCCACAGATCCTAATTAGGGGACGCCGTGATGCCGCTGAGCAGTGTGGCGGAATGCAAAGTTAGCATCAGTAGTCCCCAAACTCAAATGCCTCCACTTAGGTGCTCAAAGAAAACTTTGAGCCTCGATTTCCTCATCTGTAAAATGGGGAGTATAAAAATCTAACAATTTGAGGGGAGGCCCCCCCCAGGAGGTTGTATATGTGTAGGCTGCAAAGTGCCACCAAATATAACCCCTTTCTTTTTTCCTTCCTCATCACAAACGTGACTGGGGCCTTTCTGGACTTGAGCAAAGCCCGTTCCGTGCCGTCTGGCCCAACCGCAAACAGACGGCGGCAACTGCCCGTGACATGTTGGGGGCCGAATTAGGGCGACGCACGCTAAGCGTGTTTTGCTCTCAGGCGAAGAGGCAATTTGCAATAATAAAAGATTACTGTCTAACGAACTCTTATCTTCTCTGCTTTGGGAATAACCGTCCCAATAAATCCTGGCTAAATAACTTCTCAGACGTTCAAGGAGAACAGCGCCTTCCCCGGGACAGGGGTCGGGCGAGAGGAGAAACCCCAGCATGAGCAGAGCCCAGGCTCTTCGGGCTGAGCTCCCATCAGGGACACCGTGAGGAATGCAGAAACCATGGCAACAGTTCCTAGGAGAGGGGCACTTCCAGCTAGGGGAACAATTGGGTCCCATGTCACTCCTGAGCCCCTTGACCTAAGAAATAGGCGAGATCGATTTAGCTCTGAGGCTAGAAAGTCCTACAGGGGAACGATATGCTAAAGGAGGCCCAGGATCAACTTTATATCATTTAATGATACGTGTCGCCCAGCTGGGGACCCTCTGCAACGTAACCTTCCAAGACGCCCATGTTCTTGGCACCGAGAAACTCCAGAATGTCCCCTCTGAAGCTGGTCCTCACAGAGCCAGACTGTGTGGCTGCCCACATAGCTGCTCATGAGCATTGTCACCTGCATGGGCTCGAAACGCTGCTTCTTGCTAATCTCTGTCGCCCAGTCCCCCTGCAGACCGACAGGGACCAGGGCCCTGTTGACAGCCATGCTCACGGCACACGGCACACAGAGAGCCCTGTGGCTGACACCTGAGCTTTCCATCTGAGTCGTCCAGGAACCACGACAGGTGAGTTTAGACTCTGTCCAGCGTCGCAGCTGCTGAATGGATGGACGTGATGACAATAACAATCCATCGTGGGTTTGCGTATCGCCCGGGCGTTCACGAAACAACTTCCTGCCCATTATTTAATCGGAGCCACGTTAGAACAGCCGGGCGAGGCCAGCAAAGCTTCACTCCCTTCATTTTGCAAAGGAAACACCCGCAGCACCCACACAGGGGTGTGCTCGGCCTCACACGGCACCCCGGCAGGCTCCGGACGCACGCCTTTCTGACTCCAAGTCCAAGAGCAGAGTCCAATTCCTTCAACCATCGACCATTGGCCGTCTGTCCTCCCCGAGCATCTATAACGTGGCCCTTATATTTTACTAACGGGACGTTCATCCTAAGAACGGGGGGCGGGGGGAGCTGAGTACCTGCCTGGTCCTTGTCCAGAGACCACGACGCGGGGCAGAACTTACCGGAGTCTAGGTGATCCGAGACCAGTCTCAGGATGTCCCCGGGCTGCCCGTCGATGTTGAAGCAGACGGTGAGCTTGCTCGCGGGGAAGTCCACCACAAAGTGGGGGTCTCCATCCACTGGGGGCCGGGGGAAAGAAGGAGAGAGAAAAAAGAGGCGTCTCCTGGGTGCCTTTCGTGGGTTCAACTCTACTTCCCATTTTCCCACGAATGATTTATCCAATCCCGACGACGACGACACAACTGGAACTGGAACTTGCCCTCGGTTTCCACGTGAGGACGATGGATGGGAGAAAAGGCCACTCCCCAAAGTGACCCATTTACGTGGTAGATTTACGTGGCAAAGTAAATATTTGGCTTCAGGCCTTCTAAATCCAAATACGATGCTCCTCTCTCCCTCCCTCGGCTGGGCATAGACGACCGAGCTTTGAAAGGCAACACGAACGAGAAGAGGAAAAGAGAGAACTCGCCACACGCCCCAACTGTCAGCGAGCCACGCTCTCCGATTTCCCACGTGGATGTCCCTGTCATCTGCTTCCCCTCCGACAGCACAGAGGAGAGATCTGAGCGAGGACCCGTCCCTTCTCCTGCAGGCAGAGTTCTACGGCTCTTCTTCTCCCAGGAAGCCACAGGCCAGGCGTCCTCAACCTGCGGCCCCGCGGGCCACATGCGGGTGTTTTCACCCGTTTGTTTTTTTTACTTCAAAATAAGATATGTGCAGTGTGCATAGGAATTTGTTCATAGTTTTTTTAAAAAACTATAGTCCGGCCCTCCAACGGTCTGAGGGCCAGTGAACTGGCCCCCCCTGTTTAAAAAGTTTGAGGACCCCTGCCCTAGGGTGTCCTCTCAGACACATATGTGGCGCCAGCTGTATGCAACCCCTGCTGGGAGCCACGCCCGATGCAGGGGAGTGACCCATGGGGGACAGAGTCAGGGATGATGCTGGAAATCCCTCCTTCGGGTCACACCGACTTCTCGGCTCTCAAATTGTCATCCACAACGTTCAGCTGGTCCCTGATCCTGTCTGTTCCTGCACAGCCTTCCCCTTCTGTGCAGACAAAATACTTCCCGACAGTCGCCCTCAACTCCCTCCTCTAACGAGACTGGAGGTACAGCTTCTCTCTAAGGTACCGCCCATAAAATAAGCCCTGGCAGGATTTCTGAGCGTTTGCACAATAGAAGCCCCACCCCGAAAATAAGCCCTAGTGACGGGCGTGGCTGCGCAGCGCGTCTGCACAACCCGTGCATGTCGTCGCGGAGCGGGAAAGAAGACGAGCAGCCCTTCTCATCCGCCCCGTGAGAGCTCTGTTGCTCCACATGAGAGATTGGGGCCAGTGGTTCTAAAGGAAATAGAGTCACAAGACATTCAGGATGGGATTCGGGGTTTGGAGAGTGAGGATGATGTCCCAGAAGAAGACGACTTCACTCTATTTTAATACATTTAGATGGTTGTACCGTACTTAAAAAAATAACACATCCCCTGAATATAAGCCCTAGGGTGTCTTCTTGAGGAACAATAAATATAAGACCCTGTCTTATTTTCGGGGAAACACGGTATGCACCAAACGCAGCCTGCTTCACGCACACCTCTCCCTGTCTACGTGGGTGTGCAGGCATGTGTGGCCCTGTGTGCTAGAGGGTGCGGGCCCGGAGGCGGCGGGTCTTTCCCAGCTGCCAGCAGATTAACGTCCTTGCTGTCACTGTCCCCAGCATCACTGAGAGGGGCCCCTGCAAGAATCTGTCTGCCCTCCCCGTGAGGAGCCTCAGGCACCCTGTGAACTGCAATGCAGGAAGAAATACGAGGTGTTGCTCTTTTGCTGGAGGAAAAAAAAAGACACCCAGAGGAGATAAAAGTTCTCATCCATATTTTTGGCATCCTTTAGGTCTGACTGCAGTCACCTGTCGGTGGTGTGGCAGAGTGGCCCCAGGGCCCAGGAGGATATCAGAATCCATGGACTCTAAGTCCCTGTTATAAAATGGCATATCACCGGCTGGTCCGATGGTCGTGGGTTCTCAGAACGTATTAACATTAGCGTCACTAAAGTTGGTATTCAACCCCGCCCCACTGCTCAATTTGACTGGCTTAAAAAAAATAAAATAAAAATTTAAAATTAAAATAAAAATAATAAAATAAAATGGCATATAAGCTTCGCACCTCCTCCCGAATGCTTTAAATCACCTCTAGATTACTTATAATGCTTAAGACAATGTAAACGCTATGGAAACAGTCATTATGCGGTATTGTTTGGGGAATAACGACAAGGAAAACAGTCTGTGCGTGTGCAGCAGAGATGCAGTACTTTTTCTTGAGCAACTTCCATCTGAGGTTGGTTGAATCCACGGATATGAGACCCACGGATACAGAGGCAACTGTGTAACGTTATCTGACTGTTTTCTGGGAGTTTCTACGGGAGCATACCACACCATTTCTGCTCAAATAGTCCCAACCCTTTTATAAGGAAAGATAGTGCTCGCCCCCAAAAAAGAGGGGTGGTTCCAAAGTCATTAGCCCAGACAGCACCCAGGAGGAAGGCTTCCCTGCATTCCACAAAGCCTGCGTGAGTTCGAAGGAATTACACTCTGTCCACCAGAGACCTTGTGGCTTCCACCCCCCTTAGCTGATCCCTAGGATGTCTCTGGGTTTATGAACCTCCGCGTGAACGCCCGTCGGCAGACAGGCGACCGAAAAGGCTTACAAAGGACGACACGCACATTGTAGGAACAAAACCAGGCTCTTATGTTCCTCCTCAGGATTTTTATCTTAATCCCAGCAGGTTGGCGAAAGGAAATTTTATGACTTTCCCCCCCACCCCCCATTTTTTCTTCCCCTTCTAAAGCTGAGGATTAAAAAGCAAAAACAAAAACCTTACCGGTCACACCAGACACTGTGCTTTTTGTAGCACCATTTTTTTTTTATCTGTAACACCAGAGGCTAGAAGCATGCATGCTTCAGATCGCTGAAACAAATGTCTTTTAAACCCAGTGACGATCAAAACGTGTCCCTGCTGTCTGTCTATCCTTCTACCAGGGCTCCGGCCGGGCCTCCTCCAGACTGTGTTATCTCCACGGTGTTTATGTGACGGCCCAGTGACCGTTCTGCCTCTTAGTATCTGCCACTCGCCACTGGCTCGATGCTGGGTTCTGTGAGCTGGTTTTTGTTTTTTTTTTTTGAGACAAAGTCTGACTCTGTTGCCTGGGCTAGAGTGCCTTGGCGTCAGCCTAGCTCACAGCAACCTCCAACTCCTAGGCTCAAGCAATCCTCCTGCCTCAGCCTCCCGAGTAGCTGGGACTACAGCCATGCGCCACCATGCCCGGCTAATTTTTTCTATATAATTTTAGCTATCCAATTAACTTATTTTCTATTTTTAGTAGAGACGGGGTCTCACTCTTGCTCAGGCTGGTCTCGAACTCCTGAGCTCGAACGATCCTCGCGCCTCGGCCTCCCAGAGTGCTAGGATTACAGGCGTGAGCCACCACGCCTGGCCTACGAGCTGGTATTTTAACTGGCTTTGGGGGGTGTCTGGTTGCCCACTCTCTGAACATCCCTGGTACCCTCAACCCACACACAACCACACTCTTTTCTTTACCTGACGTTTTGGAGATTTTAATTCTTGGCTCGTACGGTTTCTCCAGTGCAGATTCTAAAACAAAGCAAGAGGATGCCACTGTTAGTCCTTAGAAAGGATGAAGGGGTTTTGAAGCAAGACTTGTCAGTGAAAAAAAAAAGAAGAGAAAGGATGAAGGGAGAGGCACACAAGAGCCGCTAGTGATGAGTGAATACAGCCCTCGGATACATTTGCAGCAACTTAAAGAATCAAACAACCTCTTCAAAACCTCATCTATCTCAAAAGAGGGAGGTTGGCCTCAAAGCACACAAGCAGGGGCAGTAAAATGTGCAGGATTCATTATTCTTTTATAAATTAGATCATATTCTTCTTTCCTTGGATTTGTGTGTATATATAATAACGAGAAACACTTTATCGCACTTAAGATGCAGTAATAGGGGGAGGGAGAAATGGGGAGTTTTGTTTCCTGGGTGCAGAGTTTCAGATTTGCAAGATGAAAGAGTGCTAGAGATCTATCGCGACACAAGTCAAATATACTTAACACTACTCAGCGGGCATTGAACCGTGCACTCAAAAACGGTGAAGACGGTAAATGTCAAGTGAGGCAGGTTTTACCACAATAGAAACAAAAGACAACAAAAAATGTAAAAAAAAAAAAGAGTTATAACCCAGTGTCTGTATCTAGTGTCCAAAGCACCCGGCTTTGAAACACTTTGCATTTCGAAGTATTTTTGTATTTGGCATAGGCATTCAATTAAAGAACAACCTAAAGGTCCTTCGTTTCTATGAAGACGCCCGCTATCTCACGTCACGTTGCACGAGCAGAACTGTGTCCCTCTCAGAGACGAAAGCTCGAGGCACCTGCATGGGTTCAAGCGCCCGCTTCTCAAAGCCGGTCCCCAGCCAACCCGCAGCCGGGCCGCGGGGAGCACGTTTCTGCGGGATGTTTGCAGCAAAGAGCGCCAGCCGCCTTACCTGGCGGCGTGCCGGCCCCTCGCAGGCTCTGCAACACCGGCTGGGGTCCCGCGGCCGCCAACACGCCACCGTGGGCCTCCTCCAGGCTGCCCGAGGGAAGGCCCGGCCTCCTGAGCCTCAAGGCGGTGAAGGGCATGAGGAAGCGCCGGCTCACGGCCAGCGCCTGGGCCCTCTGCCGCAGCTGCTCCTTCTCCCGCCCGTCGTTGCTCTGCAGCCAGGAGCTCAGCAGCTCCTTCACCGTCAGGTAGCTCCAGAGCCGCTCCAGGGGGTTGGGGTCCTCCGCCCCACCGTCGCCTCTGGGCCCCGGGCTCCCGGCGGGGTGACCCCCCGCCGCCTGGGGCCCCACGGGCACGTCCGTCTTGAGGATGACGAATTTCTTGCTGTTGCTGGCCGTGACCTCCACGTGCAGCTGGTCCAGCTGCCTGTCCACCAGCTTCCCGGCCACCACGATCTCCGAGCCGTTGAAGTAGTTGGGGAACAGGGTTTTGGTGGCCTGCTCCACCGCGCTGGCCGGGTAATCCACGCGGATGTCGGAGAGGAGAGGAGTCCTGATCTCGTCGTAGAACCTGCAGCAGTGGAACAGAGAGAGAGAGAGAGAGAGAGAGAGAGAGAGAGAGGGAGAGAGGGAGAGAGAGGGGATCAGGGCACTCCGGCCCGGACAACACAGTGAGACTTCGTCCACCCCCCGCCCCACAAAAAAAAGGTCTTTTAACTACACTCCCTCTCTAACCTACTTCAAAGGGCAGACTAAACAAGAACTTACTAGAAAAATGCCTTGAAATGTCAAGAACACAATTATAACCACAGGAGCCCGTCGGGCACTTAATGTGATGGCCATCCTGCCGACACTTTATGCAGGTTTGTCCACTAAGCTCTGTCGACCCACCGTAACCCTCATTATTTATACATGAGAAAACTAAGCCACAAACAGACTTAAAATCTCGCCTAAAGCCACAGAGCAGGGCCACAATTGGGACCCAGCTCTGCCCGGTTTCAAAAACACATCCTGGCCCGGCGCGGTGGCTCACGCCTGTCATCCCAGCACTCTGGGAGGCCCAGGCGGGAGGATCGCTCGAGGTCAGGAGTTCGAAACCAGCCTGAGCAAGAGCAAGACTCCCGTCCCTACTAAAAAAATAGAGAGAAAGTAATTGGCCAACTAAAAGTATATAGAAAAAATGAGCCGGGCATGGTGGCGCATGCCTGTTAGTCCCAGCTGCTCAGGAGGCTGAGGCAGGAGGATTACTTGAGCCCAGGAGTCTGAGGTTGCTGTGAGCTAGGCTGATGCCACGGCACTCACTCCAGCCTGGGCCACAGAGTGAGACTCTGTCTCAAAAATAAATAAATAAATAAATATAAATAAATGACTCAGGACTAACCCACTGCAAAACAACCTCCTCTGGAAGGTATGTGATGATACGTTAGCTTAGAAATCTTCACTGCCTTAGCATCGATGGTTTCCATCCCGTTTCCTGAGAAGGGCTTTTAAAAAGAGCAAAAGTGGCCAGGCATGGTGGCTCACACCTGTCATCCTAGCACTCTGGGAGGCCGACGCAGGCGGATCGTTTGAGCTCAGGAGTTCGGAACCAGCCTGAGCAAGAGTGAGACTCCCGTCCCTACTAAAAAAATAGAAATAAATTAATTGGCCAACTAAAAATACATAGAAGGCCCCCCCCACCTGGCAGGTGAGAATTTACAGAGCTGGTGTCCAGGGAAACCTGAGCTGCTGGGAAAGGTCTGGCCTGCCACCTCCTTCCCCGTCATCAGCTTCGGCTTTCAGATCCTCCACTCCCGGCCAAAAAAAAAATAATAATAATAAGTTTCTTATCACGTCGAAGCTAATAGGAGAAAAGGCAGCCGTGTTGTACTCCACCTGGGGGACAATGTGGCTGAATGTAACTTTGCATCCTGATGTTGTCCGGGGTGACTGGTATCAGGTGGTCCTTCACACCTTGATCCGGTTGGAAAACCAATGATGTGCAACGCGGACTCTGGGGTCGGAGGTCGTGGAGGATGGTGAAGAGCGCGTCCTTGGTCTGGGCAAACACAAAACCAGAACCGGTCACAGCAATGTCACGTTAGTGCACTTGTCCCTG